AGTTTTATGGCCTTTAATTTTTAGATGTCATTGAGTTGTGAACCCTGTCGTATCCTGTTCCATCCTCACAATCTCTGACACACTTGAGTTCATTGCTGAAGTCATTCCATCTGGTTAAGGATCTTCCTCTCTTTTGCCGATGCTGCACATTTCTAAGTTTGGCTAAATTGGATTCTATATATAACCAATAAGATCTGAGCTTTAAAGGGCCAAGTCAGAGAGCATTTCTATCATTGATTTATTCTCTTACCAAAATGATTTTTCCCCCATTGAGGCATTTTCATTGTGTTTACATCCCTAGAAAAAGAATCCCAGAATTTTTCCTCCTGTGTCTTTTCATCTCGCTTCCTCGTGGTCTATCATGTCAGCTGAGGTCATAAGTGAAACCAAACTGATGGGATGGGGAAGATTATTCTGCCACTTTTCTAGATCTCTGAGTTGTGCATCAGTCACATCTGGGGCTGGTAACACCACACTTGTTTAACCAGTCTGTGAGGTTGACAACAATTTTCCTCACTCTGTGATCGTCAATGGTTTCAGATTCACCAATGTAGCCATACTTCATCATCACCGTTTGGAACTGAACTATGACTTTGGAGCACAATCTGATAAAAACCTGGCACTTGCCTCTCTTCTTGGCATTGGTGATGCTCTTGAGAGTGTCAGGCATGACATTCAAGCACACCATAGTGGCAGCCCAGAAAGATGGCAGAAAAGGACACTTAAAAGCCATTTATTACCCACAGTCACATGAGATTTCTTTGTTCAAAAGTCCCAGTAACTCAAGAGAATAAATGAATACAGGATAACTTCCTCCCCACCCTCAGAAAGTCCAAGTTACTTATTCTGATCATGTAAATTGTTTTTTCTAGGTAGCAAGAGTCCATTGTAATCCTACTACTCTACTTAAAGTGGGTTCAGTGAGCATATAACTCTCTCTCGTAAGTATTGAAATAGAAGGCATTAGATATTGAAGTTTTAGGAGTTTTTTAACCGATAGTAAACAGTATCTGAATATTTACATGTTAGCCTTTATTTTTATCATCACTATTATAATTATTTTTCTAGGGAAAGAGTAGAAGGGTAGTTGTGATTTAGTTAAAGTTGGGTGAGAGGGGATGCCACCATGCCAATACTTTTGTTTCCATGAACACCTGTATGTTGAGGTGGTTTCAGATCTGGAAAGGAGGATCAGCCATGGTTTCCCCAGAGCTCACCGTCCTCAGGATGGTGGGCCTGCCCACGGCCAGTCTCTTCATCCTGAGCTATACAGAGCAGTGTAGCAAACTAAGACCAACACCATTGCCATCAAGGTGACTTCAACTCCCAGCAGCCCCGTGTGGTACAGAGCAGAACTGAGCGAGCTCAGTGGAGTTTTCTTGGCTGGGTTTTCAGTGAATCAGGTCACCAGACATTTCTGCAGCACCAGTAGGTGGTTCAAACCACCAACCTTTATGTTAATAGCAGAGTGCAAACCCTTCGTGCTTTCCCAGAGACCACGGACCAGGATATCCTTTCTTTCAAGGTGATCGAATGACTGGCTGAGGCCTGGGATGAGGTCAGAAACCCAGGTGGCTGCTGCCCTTGTCACATTTGTGGCAGGTTAGGTACCAACAGCAAAGTTGCCGTTCTGGAATCATAGCAGGCTTCTGATTCACTCCTTCCCCCTCCTGTGGTTCCTTTTAAATATTTTTCTAATACTTGGCACTGGATTGCTACACAATGGGCCCTTCCACTGTTCAAGGGCTAAACTCATAATAAGGTGGAATCTCTGTTGTTAATTCCAGTGTCTGATTACTACACAGGCTTTTTGGAGAGCCCCAAATCCTGTTCCTTGCAGCACAGTCAAGCCAAAATGCTCATTGTTAGCTGATCTTGTTTTAAGTTCCTTTTCATACATTTTAGTGTGCCTTGAAAGTTGCTCAGAGCCAAAATCCATAACTTCTTCTGCTCCCTCTTCTCCTGTCCCTGACTGATTAAACATTTTCTTTACCATATGTTGAATTTTTGCATCACTGGGAAATTAGAAGTCATTAGAAGAGACCTTCCCTCAAACTTCCCATCTTTACCTCCACTCACCACTCATCCAGAGCCTCATGTTCTGCTTTCTTCCCTATTGTAACAGATGAAAGGTTTGTAATTCTGCACCATCCTTTTCTCTTTTATAGTAAATTTTATTACCTATATCTACTCAAAATTCCAATTCTTGCAGTTCTTCACATGTTGTCTTGTATTATTATTTCCCCTGCCCTACTGAGTGATTTCCATCAGAGTTAAAGCATTGCTCTTTTTCACATCTGATAAACAACCAACAACAGCAAAATCTTTTGATCCTACCTTCCCTCTTTATTTTCACCTTTGGTTCTTATCACTTTGTAAATGAATATCATATAACATATTATACCATTTCCTTATTTATTCTTTTTTTCTTTCTGTCTTCCTCCACCAGAATGTCAGCATTGTGAGGGCAGAAATTTTTGCTTATTTTGCTCATGTTGTAGTCCCAGGAGCCTTGCAATAGGTGTTCAATGCTTCTTTGTTGAATGAATGAAACAATTAATATAGAACAACTGAATAAGTATTAATAAAAATGCTAGTCATCCATGGTCATTTCTATTATTCTGTCCTGAAAATTATTTTCTATTATTCTATCCTAAAATACAGCCTCAGATGTTTCCTCAAAAATTTGAACATAGAAATTCCATATGACCCAGCTATTCCATGACCAGGAATATACCCCAAGGAAATTTGAACTGAGACACAAATGGAGATTTATGCTCCAATGTCCACAACAGTGTTATTCACCATTGCAAGAACATGGAAACAGCCCAACTGTCCAACTCAAACCAGATCAACTGAGAAATTGTGGTACATTCACACAATGGGATACTATGCAGCACTTAAGAGCAATGATTTTGAAAAATACTATGTAACTTGGGAGAGACTGGAGAGCATTATGCTGAGTGAACTAACACTGTCTCATAAGGACCAATACTGTATAAAACCATTCTTGTGAAAATAGAAGTTAACTAGTAAAACATGCACAGGAACTCGAAGTGGGAAGGAGGGGAACAGAAAGGTGAGGATAGGTAGGAGTGAAACCCCAGGGCTGCACAGTTTGATGGGTGAAGGGAAGAAGGGAAGCAAACGGGAAGGATCTGGGTGAAACGACAGGGAAATGATGGACAAAGTCCAATGGTGACTAAAAACATAATGCATGAGAATGATTGCATGAAATACAATGTGAATGAAGAATAGTATGAAACACAATGTATATAAACTTTGAAAGCAAACAAAAAATTAAGGTAAAAGAGAATGTATATGAATGATTGTATGAAAGTAGGTAAATAAAAGATTGTATAAAATGCAGTGTATATTAATAAAACATAGTGTAAAGAATTATTACATGAAAATCAATTAAAACAAACAAACAAACAACACCCAACAACCCAAAACAGTTTAAGAAACAAGTCAGGATACAGATTGAGGATGCATGCCTCTTGGCAAGGCACAAGCTTACTACACAAAATGTGGCTCATGCCCTTGTACTGTTGCCACCATCTGGGAACTTGTTAGAAATGCAGGTTCTCAGACTCCATTCCAGACCTGCTGAAATGGTATCTGTATTTCAGTGAGATCTTCCTAGGTGATTTAAGGCCTGGTCTTAGCCTTGGTTACATCTTGGAAACTTGTGTGAGTAACTTTGAAAACTACTGATGCCTTAATCTTACTCCCAGAGATTCTGATTTAATTGATCTGGAATGGGTCTAGACATAGGCCAGTGTACAGAGGGAAAGCAACTTGTTTATTATTTGGGTAAGTAGCAAGATTAGAAAGTTGTTTGTCTCTGGGTGCAAAGAAAGTAACACGTTGCTCTCATCCTCACCTTATTTCATAAGAGTAGATTTCAGTTCCTCATTTGTGGTTTCAAGTGAGATCTTTTTGTCTTATTTACCTACTAAAAACCATAACACAAATGCCACAAGTGGGTGACTTTAAGGAACAGAAATTTATTTTTTCACAATGTTGTGGGTTAAAAGTCCAAATCAGAGCCTTACTATGTCAATCCCTTCCTTATTGGCAGCCCTTGATATCTTTGGATTGCAGATAAGTCTTCACATGGTATAATCTTTCCCTATGTATGCATTTCTCTATGTCTATTGTGGTACTTTCATAACTCAGAAATTACTAGCTTTAGAACCCATGTTAATTTAGTATAATTAACAGAACAAGAGCAAAACTGTGTTTCCAAATAGGATTGCATCTGCATGTCTGCAAACAAAAACAGTTGTTACTGAGTCAATTTCAACTCCTGGTGACCCTGTGTTTTACAAAGTAGAACTGAGCTCCACAGGGCTTGCACAAGTACAAGGGTCAGAAATTCAACACCTAATTTGAGAGAACACAATTCAACCCATAACAGTCTTCAAGGTAGCTACTTCTCATTACATGGCAGGGCACTCACCCCACATCCAGGCCGGGGCTTACAATTTCAGCAACAGGGAATAAACACCGAACAGTGCCAACTTCTTGGGGAAATTGCACTTTCTTTCTTTTCTGTCAGGATCTTATTGCCTTTGCAAGAAGAAAAGTTATCAGAGGGAGGAGAATGAATCTAACTTCAGGTTCAGTCTCTGAATGAGCCACAGGAAAAGCTCTGTCCCTCTGGGAAGCAGAGGAGCTCACACTGGGCTCTGACAAACACCTTACATCCTATACTCACAAAGAGTGTGGGTTTCAATTATTCAATAACCTCTCATACTTTCGCACCCACTGACTGGCACTGCAAAGGTGAGGTGCAGCACTGAACTTTGAGTGTGACTCCAAATACACAAATATATTCAGCCGGTGACCTTTAGTTTTAGTCCCTAAAGCTGTACAATAGAAATTCATGGAAACATTAGAGAGCAGCAATGGCTTACAAGCATCAAGGAACGACTATGGAAATGTATGGAGAACATGTCCAGACCTCCATTAACCCGTTGGGCTTTCTTTTGCAGCTGAAGCCTCCAGTTCTCATGACTCCCTTAGCCCTCTCACCTCCACGGAGTACCCCTGAGCCTGACCTCAGCAACATCCCTCAGGACGCAGCCACCATACCTAGCTTGGTGGCCCCACAGGCTCTCACAGGTAGGTCAGCAGAAAGAGCTCCAAGGCTGTAATGACCAGCAGATAACAAACCAGCCTGCCATCTAGCAATTACATAATAAACTAAAGAGCGACCACATGAGGAAGCTCCACATAAAAGATTTTGTGTATCAATTAGCTAGACAGCAGATAGGGCAGCCATGTTCTCTGAGAGCATGAATTTCAATGTCTTGTAGCTGAAAGTACTTAATTCTTGGTTTTCAAAGCATCTTGGGTTTAGTTGCTCACTTTAGGGTGGGGCAAGGACTAGTGGTTGACGATTTATTTTGCATCAAATAAGAGTAAAGACATTCACCTTGAAAAGAGTGTTGCCACTACCTACATTTTTAACTTGCTGACCTTCCAAAGACCTTGATTTCCCACCCAGCACTCTCCAACTGAGTCAAAATAGTGCACGTGACAATTGCTTTCTTAGATGCATCCCTCAACCAAAAGTTTCATCATAATAGTGATTCATCCCATCTTACGCACTCCATAGCTCGCTTTCACAAAAACCATATACAACTTCCCACCCTATTTCAATCCTCTCAGCCCCTTCCCATTACTCTTAAGACCAAACTACTTAATATGGAGATAAGGCCCTGCACGCTTATTCTCTGGGATGAGCCATACATACTGTTCTTTTTTAAGTCCCTAGCACCAGCCACTTAAGAAGTTGTCAAAAATTGAATGGAATGCATAAAATTGATAACCTAAGAAATGTTGTAGTTGTTATGGACCATCGAGTCGCTTGCAACTCATAGTGACCTTATGTAAAACAGCCCTAAACCCTGCTCTATCCTGTGCCGATCGCACTGTCACTGACACACCTACCCCCATTTCCCTAGTCACTGAATCAATACATCTCATTGAATATCTTCTTCTCCTGCACTGTCCCTCTACCCTCCCAGGCATGATGTTCCTCTCCAAGGACTGGTTGCAATGTTTCCAAAGTATGTCAGACAACGTTTCATAATCCTTGCCTCCAAGGAGCAGCCTGGTTTTAGAGAACTGAAATGGACTTATACTGGTAAAAGAGTATCATATGGTCCACTATACCAAGAACGAAAAGATGAAGACAAATAGTATCACCTTCAATGTCAAAAAGAACATTTCAGAATCTATCCTAAAGTACAAAGCTGTTGGTTAGAGGATGATATACATATGCTTACAAAGAAGACCAGTTAACACAATTATTGTTCAAGTTTATATGTCAACCACTAATGCCAAAGATGAAAAAAATTGGAGTTTTTTTCCAAATTTTGCAGTATTAAATTGATCAAATATGTAACCAGGATGCATTCATAGTTACTGGTAATTGGAATGTGGAAGTTGGACACAAAGATGAAGGAACAGTAATTGGAAAAAAGACAGCCTTTTTAACAAATGGTGTTAACAAAATTGGAAAACTATCTGCAGAAGAATTAAACAAGATCCCCACCTCACTCCATATACAAAAACCAACTCAAGGTGGATCATGGACCTAGGACTAAAACCA